AGGTAAACATGAAAGAGGTCACTTTTTACCACTTTAGGTCCAGGGGAGCAACAGTTGGATAAAAATAATAACCATGGTTTATCAAACATATATTGGGTGGTAGATAAATGCAGTGGCTCTTACTGAATCTTCACCATAACTTTGTGAGGTTGGAACATTTACCAACCCTTGCCAATCTTTTTATTTTATTTATTGTGTTTTTTTTTTTTTTTAAGACAGAGTCTTACTCTGTCACCCCGGCTGGAGTGCAGTGGTGTGATCTCGGCTCACCGCAACCTCTGGCTCCTGGGTTCAAGCGATTCTTCTGCCTCTGCCTCCCAAGTAGTTGGGATTACAGGTGCACCCTGATGCCCGGTAAATTTTTGTATTTTTAGTAGAGATGGGGTTTTGCCATGTTGGCCAGGCTGATCTTGAACCCCTGACTTCAAGTGATCTGTCTACCTTAGCCTCCCAAAATGCTGGGATTACAGGCATAAGCCACTGTGCCCAGTCCCCATTTTTTTTTTTTTTTTTTTTAAAGACAGAATCTCACTCTGTCACCCAGGCTGGAGTGCAGTGGTGCAATCATAGCTTGCTGTGGCCTCAACCTCCCGGGCTCAAATGATCCTCCCACCTCAGCCTCCCAAGTAGCTGTGGCTACAGGTGTGTGCCACCACACCTGGCTAACCAACCCCATTTTATACCTGGGCAAACTGAGGCCCCGGGGGGTCTCATGGCTTGTCCATTGTCATTTAGTGGGTAAGTGGCACAACTGGGATTCAGATTCCATCTGTGCCTCCCACTGTTGATCTCTTTCTACAGCTACCTTCTTTTCTTTTTCTTTTTTTTTTTTTTGAGATAGAGTCTTGCTCCATTGCCCAGGCTGGAGTGAGTGCAGTGGTGCAATGGTACAATCTTGGCTCACTGCAACCTCCATCTCCCTCCCCAGCTCCCTCGTTCCTCAGGAGAGACGACTCTGAGATGCATGTTCCACATTATCTCCTGAAAGTCCCCACTGGGGTAAAGCTCCACCTGCCCAGAGCCTGCTCAACTAACACATTTTTGGTTAATTAAAAAAAATTTTTTTTAGAGAGACCGCGTCTCTGGCCAGGTGTGGTGGGCCACTCTTGTAATCCCAGCACTTTGGGTGGCCGAAGCGGGTGGATCACTTGAGGCCAGGAGTTCCAGACCAGCCTGGGCTATATGTCAAAACCCCATTTCTACTAAAAAATACAAAAATTAGCCAGGCGTGGTGATGTGTGCCTATAATCGCAGCTACTCAGGAGGCTGAGGCAGGAGATTTGCTTGAACCCAGGAGGCGAAGGTTGCAGTGAGCTGGGATTATGCCATTGCACTCCAGCCTGGACAACAGAGCAAGATTCTGCTTAAAAAAAAAAAAAATTACAGAGACAGGTTCTCACAGTGTTGCCCAGGCTAGAGTGCAGTGGTGCAATTACAGCTCACTGCAACCTTGAACTCCTGGGCTCAAGCGATCCTCCTGCCTTCGCCTCCCGAGTATCTGGGACTACAGATGTGTGCCATTGCGCCCATCAATAACACATCTTTTAGCATATCTTGTTCTTTCTCTGCCTCACTTCTTCTTCTTTTTTTTTTTTTTTTTTAATGGAGTCTTGCTGTGTCGCCCACTGTAACCTCCACCTCCAGGGTTCGAGTGATTCTTCTGCCTCAGCCTCCCGAGTAGCTGAGACTACAGGCCTACGCCACCATGCCCTGCTAATTTTTGTATTTTTAGTAGAGACAGTGTGTCACCCTATTGGCCAGGTTGGTCTCGAACTCCTGACCTCGCGATCTTCCCATCTCGGCCTCCCAAAGTTCTAGGATTACAGGTGTGAGCTACCGCGCCCAGCCCTGCCTCATTTCTTCACACCCCTACTGGTGTTTCCTGGGATCGTCTCCAAAATTATCCACCTGCATGCACTAAACTCCTTGTCTCAGAGTCTGCTTTTGGGAGAACACAAACGATGACGCTATGGGATGAGTGTCATCATCAAAGATGAGTTTGCGAAATGGTTCTGGTTTGCCTGGAACTGAGGGACTCCTGGATTGTGGGACTTTTGGTACTAAACCTGGGAAAGTCCTGGGAAAACCAGAATGACTTGACTGTCCTTATAGGAGGACAGTGTGGCATGAGGGAAGCCAAGAGAAGGGAACGCTTCAAGAAGAAAATAAAATGATCAACGGAGTCAGATGTTGACCCAATGGTCAAGTTTGGTGAGACTGAGAAACAACCAGTGGACTTTGCACCCAGGAAGCATTTGGAACGTTGATTCATCCTTTGGTGTGTTGGAAGCAGAAGTTAAATTGCAGTGGTTGAACAGTGAGGAGGTTGGAGGAAGTGAAGGCCACACAGTGGAAACAACTTCTTTTCTCTAGAATTTTTTTTTTTTTTTTTTGAGATGGAGTTTCGCTTTTGTTGCCCAGTCTGGAGTGCAATGGCGCGATCTCGGCTCACCGCAACGTCCACCTCCCGGGATCAAGTGATTCTCCTGCCTCAGCCTCCCGAGTAGCTGGGATTACAGGCATGAGCCACCAAGCCTGGCTAATTTTGTATTTTTAGCAGAGAGGGGTTTTCTCCATGTTGGTCAGTCTGGTCTTGAACTTCTGACCTCAGGTGATCCACCCGGCTTGGCCTCCCAAAGTGCTGGGATTATAGGCGTGAGCCACCGCACTCGGCCTTTTTTTCTAGAATTTTGGCTGTGAAGAGGAGGAGAGATAGAGTGGCTATTGTAGCAGGAAAGCAGATTAAGGGAGACTTTTTGGATAGAAGGGGCCTGAACATGTGTCCTCTCTTTTCTTTCCTTCGTTCCTTCTTTCCTTCTCCCCTCCCCTCCCCTCCCCTCCCCTTCCCTTTCTTAGAGTCTTTCCCTCTGTTGCCCAGGCTGGAGTGCAGTGGTGCGATCTTGAATCACTGCAACCTCTGCTTCCCAGGTTCAAGTGATTCTCCTGCCTCAGCCTCCCAAGTAGCTGGGATTACAGGCACCCACCACCATGCCTGGCTAATATTTGCAGTTTTAGTAGAGACGGGGTTTCACCACGTTGGCTAGGCTGGTCTCGAACTCCTGACCTCAGGTGATCCACTTGCCTTGGCCTCCCAAAATGTTAGGATTACAGGCGTGAGCCACCGTGCCTGGCCGTGTCCTCTCTTTTCTTTCAAAATCCCTATTATTCTCATATTAAACACCCCAGTCTTCCTTTTATTCTTCCAAGATTTTAATCTTTTGGCTTTTTTTCCCCAGTGCTTTGAGCTGTTTTTCCCATGTGGTCTTCAAAGACTCAAATTTGGCTTTTGAGAGTGATGACTTAAAAAAAAAATATCACCCAGCATCAACAGCAGACAGGTGCTAAAGAAAAATAAAAATCATCCAGCAAAATTTCTTCTTAAATGTATTCCTTTTTTATTAAGTTCCATAGAACTAGAACTTTTGGGCATGCACTTAATCTTCTTACATTCTGTAATTATTTTTTTATTTTTTGCAAAATAAACTTTTATTTGGAGGGACAGCATAATTTAGAGTCCAGGCTCTTCTACACTTTAAATATTTATTCATTTATTTGTTTTATACAGACAAAAAATGTATATATTTATCATGTACAACAGGATGTTCTGAAATATGTCTACATTGTGGAATGACTAAGTCAAGCTAATCAATATATGATTACCTCATATAACAATATATATATATATTTTTTGGTGGTGAGAACACTTAAAATCTCTCATCAGGTGCGATGGCTTATGTCTGTAATCCCAGCACCTTGGGAGGCCCTGGCGGGTGGATCACTGCTTGAGGTCAGGAGTTTGAGATCAGCTTGGCCAACATGGTGAAACCCCGTCTCCACTAAAAATACAAAAATTAGCTGGGCATGGGGGCATGTGTCTGTAGTCCCAGCTATCAGGAGGCTAAGGCCAGAGAATCACCTGAACCCAGGAGGCGGAGGTTGCAGTGAGCCTAGATCTCATCACAGCACTCCAGCCTGGGCGACAGAGTGAGACTCAGTCTCAAAAAAAAAGAAGTTAGCCTGGGTCGGGCACGGTGGCTCACGCCTGTAATCCCAGCACTTTGGGAGGCCAAGTCAGGTGGATCACCTGAGATTGGGAGTTCGAGACGAGCCTGACCAACGTGGAGAAACCCTGTCTCTACTAAAAATACAAAATTAGCCGGGCGTGGTGGTGCATGCCTGTAATGCCAGCTACTTGGGAGGCTGAGGCAGGAGAATCGCTTGAACCCAGGAGGCGGAGGTTGCACTTGCACCATTGCACTCCATCCTGGGCAACAAGAGCAAAACTCTTATCTCAAAAAAAAAAAAAAAAGTAAGTTAGCCTGTTTCTAGCAAGGAAATAAAGCCAGTAGGAAGCTAATGGTTTGAGGGAATGAGTGAGTTTAAAGAGCAAGTTTAGGCCAGGCACGGTGGCTCATACCTGTAATCCCAGCACTTTGGGAGGCCAAGGTGGGAGGATCATGAGGTCAGGAGATCGAGACCATTCTGGCTAACACAGTGAAACCCTGTCTCTACCAAATATACAAAAAATTAGCCGGGCGTGGTAGTGGGTTCCTGTAGTCCCAGCTACTTGGGAGGCTGAGACAGGAGAATGCTGTGAACCCAGGAGGCACAGCTTGCAGTGAGCCGAGATCGTGCCACTGCACTCCAGCCTGGGCAACAAAGCAAGACTCCATCTCAAAAAAAAAAAAAAAGAAAAAAGAAGAGCAAGTTTATGGCTGGTTGCAGTGGCTTATGCCTGTAATCCCAGCAGTTTGGGAAGCTGAGGCGGGAGAATCATTTGAACTCTGGAATTTGAGGCTGCAGTGAGCTATGATTACACCACTACACTCCAGTTGGGTGACAGAGTGAAACCCTGTCTTAAAAAAAAGGGGGCAAGTTTAGGATGAGTGGGACTAAGAACTTGAGGTAAAGGACCTCTTCATTTACAAAAAGTCAAGGAAATATTTGCAGTGGTCACGTTTTGGGTTTCCAGGGATAAGCATTGACAGAATACAGCATAGTGAAGAGAAATGCAATTTACCACACATTTTTTGAGAGCCTATTATGCAGAACAAACACTTTGGGAAGTAAAGGTTGATTACTTCCTCTCCAAGGATGATATGTCTAATGAAGTCCCTTGTCCTTAGCTTCATTCTTCATAATGCCAAAAAGATCCATGGGTATGATTTTCCATATGGAGTTGAATGTTCTAGTTCTATTATTTTCTCTTCACTTGTCCTGGAAAAACATCCCCCTATAAAAGAGGTTTAGATTAAAGGTGGATGTAAGGGTAAAATAAAGCAAACAAACAAAAATCAACAACATGGAGAAAGAGCAGGAGTGATTTAAACCCAGCTTGAACCAGCAGGCAAGGATGGCATGATCTCCTAGCATTTAAAAATCCTAGGGCAGATGTGGTCTTCTTTGGCTTAGAGTGGGAAGACTTATCAAAAATTCAGCAGGAAGAATTATTCTTTTTGATAAATTTTCAGACATAATATTCCACTCTGGAATTTCAGTCCCCTGGATGTTTTTTGTCTATGAAGAAAGGTTAGAGTCTTGTTGGCTTTGTTCCTCTTTGAATGCCTGTTATCTAACATAGTGCCTGACACACTGTAGAAGTCAACAAATATTCTCCTTGCACCCCGCAACTAACAGCTCGGTTTAGCAGCCCCAAGCTCCACAGAGGAACCAACATCTCCTGAAGAAGCCTATGAGGTTAGCGGTTCCTAGCCTAGTTATAAGAGCTGTGTGCAAGAAGTTCAAAGTTATGTCTTCCTTCCTGGTATTTATGGTTCATTCACAGATGCAATTTACAAGTCAAGCATGATTTTTCCCATAGGGAACATTGCCCAGCAACCTAACTGATCTTCCAACTTTATCAAGTTTCTTGGGAGCAGAGTTAGAAAGTTAACCCAAGGTCAAATTTGTCCATAGAAGAAGAGTTTCATTAGCTTTTTACTCAAACTTTGTGCCTAAAAAATAGAAGCACAGAGATTTTTCTATAGAGACGGGGTCTTACTTTGTTGCCCAGGCAGGTCTCAAGCTCATGACCTCAAGCAATCCTCCTACCTTGTTCTTTCAAAAGTGCTGGGATTACAGGCATGAGCCACCATGTCTGGCCAAAGCTAATATATTCCTTAAATAGAGATTCGTATATATATGCATATATATATATGTATATATATAATTTTTCCTTTTTTTTTTTTAGGCAGGGTTTTGCTCTGTCACCCAGGCTGGAGTGCAGTGGTATGATCTTGGCTCATTGCAGCCTCTGCCTCCTGGGCTCAAGCAATCCTCCTGCCTCAGCCTCCTAAATAGCTGAAATTACAGGCATGCACCACCACACCTGGTTAATTCTTTGATGTTTCTATAGAGACAGGGTCTCACTCTATTACCCAGGTTATATTTGATATTTTCCCCATCCAAAGATACACTCATATTATTCAATTTCCACAATGTTAAGTGATAATAATAAAAACGATTTCCCTTATTCCATTATGGAGAACCAGTATCTAGAATGCTGGCAGCTTTGGGAATTATTTTGGATTATCTGGGAAATCTTTCATAGGTCACAGTCAACAGTCAGCACTTCTACTCTTGTTGAGAATAATTAAGGACAGAGTTTCACTCTTGTTGCCCAGGCTGGAGTGCAATGGTGCAATCTTGGCTCATCATAACCTCTGCCTCCCAGGTTCAAGTGATTCTCTTGCCTCAGTCTCCTGAGTAGCTGGGATTACAGATGCCTGCCACCACGCCCAGTGGCTCACACCTGTAATCTCAGCACTTGAGAGGCCAAGGTGGGCAGATCACTTGAGGTCAGGAGTTCGAGACCAGCCTGGCCAACATGGTGAAACACCATCTGACTAAAAATACAAAAAAATTAGCTGGGTGTGGTGGTGGGCACCTGTAATCCCAGCTACTGGGGAGGCTGAGGCAGGAGAATCACTTGAACCCAGGAGGCGGAGGTTGCAGTGAGCTGAGATTATACCACTACACTCCAGCCTGGGCAACAGAATGAGACTCTGTCTAAAAAAAAAAAAAAAAAAAGAAAGAAAAGAAGAGACAGGGGTCTCACTATGTTGCCCAGGCTGGGCTCAAACTCCTGGACTCAAGTGATCCTCCTGCCTTGGCCTCCCAAAGTGTTGGGATTACAGGTGTGAGCCACCATGCCCAGCTTCTTTTTAAACGTCTATTCTGTCATTTATTCAAAAAGCCAAATATGGAACGAAATGTCACATAGTGCAGGAAGCTCATTCTGTGGTACACTGAGCCTGAGTTAGTGCAATGGAAGAACAGAATACCAGCAACCAGATTCCAGAAGTATCGTCTTTCTAACAGGGCCATTTCCTCCCCCAGGAAGGTCCCACGATTCCCTGCACTCATCCTCTGTAATTATGCAGAGCAACTGGGGCAGAATCCGTATCCTGGAGCCTCTTCCATGGCGTTCCCTCACTCTGTGGGGCTCACATCCACATCTTTATGTACAGGGGGCATTTGGAGTGAAGAAGATCACTCTGCTATGCCTATGCTTGTAAATTTCCCCCAGTGGGAGTCTGTGTTAGATTGCATTGGTTCTTGATATGTTTTACTCATACATCTTTGCACAACAAGAATACATATGAAAACCAGCCTAAGTGCTGTTAGTGAGTAGAGAGGAGTCACTGAGGAAAAATATAACAAGAATGAGGAACTCAAACCAGGTTATCAGGAAAAGGACTCTTCCTCATACCCTCCAGGAAAGCGAGTTTGTACTCAGACTAGCTCCTCAAAGCTACCCTATGTTTCCCAGGCTGGTGTCAAACTCCTGGGCTCAAGCGATCCTCCCATCTCAGCCTCTCAAGTAGCTGGGAGTACAACACCACAACACCTGGCTTCTTTTTTTTTTTTTTTTTTTTGAGATGGAGTTTTGCTCTTGTTGCCCAGGCAGGAGTGCAATGGTGCGATCTTGGCTC